TGGATGGGACGCTGGCCTGCCGCCAAGCATCGCTCTTCATTTCTAGCCTTTCCTCTCGAAGGGCTGGAAAACGGGTTCCCTTCCAAGTCAAACAAGAGCTGCCCAGGGCTGGTACGCAAGCAAGGGCAGAAGGGAAGCTCGTTTCCTGACTCCGCCTTCGCTGATTAGAGGGCGTGCAGGCATGCGCGCTTCCTCCAGGAGGAGGCCCAGCCTTGCCTGCTCGTTAGAGACTTCGCACTGAACTCAGACAGACGCTCTGGAGCGGAGCCCACGGCGAGGTGTGTGCTGCATATGAGGCTGTCTTCCTAAATCTCAGGCCTAAAACAGCCTTCTCTGCCGGAGAGCCTATAGCTTGAACTCAGCCTGAGTCAGCACAGGCTTCTAGAAGTCTGTTGGGGAAACTTGTGCAGCTGCCCAGCCTCGGTGTGTATCCCCACCCTTACTTCTTCCCTCTTAGAAGAGAGCGGAAAACTCTGAGCCTTGGGAGCTGAGGAAAGCCAACCCGGGAGAGAAAAATCACAAAGAGACAGGGAGGGTGAAGGGCCTCTGATCTGGGGCTGTGGGAGGAGAAAAGGATTATTCGCGGCAGTGAATGTTCTTTTCTGGAGAAAGTGGGCTTTAGATTCCTGGCCTGGGTCTCTGGTTGGGAGACTTGTTCGAGTGACCTTGGCAATGGTCATCAGGGGAAGACCTGAGGAAATGACTTTGCTTTCCAAAATTATTTCAAATACTCCTTCCAGCGGGTTTTCTTCATGAAAACTAGTTTGCTGGTTTTTAATAGTCTTTTTTTTATGATTATTAATTAGGACATGCTCTATGTGAAACATTTAGAAAACTTACCATTCCTAACTGGAAGAATGGGCTTGGGGGGTTTCTCGTTTGTATTTTCCCAATAAGCCCCTTAACTTCTGGGTAGACTTAGTGTTTATGAGGGACCATCACCTGCATGGGGCTTGTTTCACAGTTGAAGCTATTTCTTTTTTTTCTTTTTTTTTTAAGATTTTATTTATTTATTTTTTAGAGAGGGAAGGGAAGGAGAAAGAGAGAGAGAGAGAGAAAGAGAGAGAGAGAAACATCAATGTGTGGTTGCTGGGTGTCATGGCCTGCAACCCAGGCATGTACCCTGACTGGGAATCGAACCTGCAGCACTTTGGTTCACAGCCCGAGCTCAATCCACTGAGCTACGCCAGCCAGGGCTGAAGCTATTTCTAAAGGGGAAGAAACCTTACCCCCTCTAGTGTCAGTCTCCAGGTGGCCATGGAGGATGGGACAAATCCCTGCACAGGACCAAATCCAGATAGGCAGGGTGACACCACTAGGGTGTGAGTATAGGCAGTTAATCAGAGAAGCTTCTGGAAGCTCCAGGACTCAGAACCAGATACGGTATTCACACAAAGGCCTCCTGTAGCCTCAGCGTGTGCCAGGCCAGGGCCCTGTGAATATGCAGGGCCCGGCTCAAACAACCCCCCTTTTTATTACAAAATATTTTATTAGAAAATCATAAGTATGTAATTCTGTAACATAACAATATCACACTCAAGTGCACCGTATGACATTTTAGGTGACATGTTCAAATTAAAACTATAGATTGCTACACCCATATTATTACCCTACCGACCACACTCAGGCGTTGCTTCTGCCAGACCTGTACATGGCAGCTCCGGGCCCTGTGAGGAAGGCGAAGGTCTGGGCACTCTCCGACCTGCTCCAGGTGGCTCTGGAGTCTGACCCCTGAATTGAAGTGAATTCAAGTGCCAGCGGCAGTGGCATGATCTGATGGCCTGGTCCCCAAGTGTCCCTGGCCTCAGGATGTGCCAGCAAAATTCAGAAAAAAAGTTTGAAATCTAAATACTGCTCCTTGGAACATTAGCCCGTGGAATGTGAGGCAAAGATGAAAGAGACCTCACGATCAGAAGGCCTGGATTCGAGTTGGGACCTTGCCCCTGGCACATTGAGGACCTCTGTCCCCTCCCTATTCAAAGGCATCACGAGAGAAGGAGCCGAGGGAAAGTAGGAGGGCTCTGCCACTCTCACCTTTCCAGGGAGGTGAGAAATGAACGGGCCCCCTCGTTAGGCAGTTTCACATGGGACCAGAGCTGCTGACGGAGCTCTAAGCCCTCCGCCTCCCTGTGCCATTCTCTCTGCCTCAAGGCTGTTGAATTTCCTCCACAGGAACCAGCTGACATGGTGGCCAGAGAACCCCATCATTCTTCTAAGAGGATGCTCTGTTCTTCTGGGTTCACTTGGGGTAGTCGGAGTGCTTTGAACAAGGGCACCCTGGAAATAATCTTGTACTTAGAGAATCATTGGTTTATTTTTCAGGCTGTGTTTCTGCTTCAGCATTTCTAATTTGCCGTCCTTTCTTTGCTTCGCTGTACGAATCATAGTGTGCAGATGTCCTAGCCCTGGTTCTTTCTGGCTGTTTGCTACAAACTGCCTTTTGGTCCTGACTGAGTGGTGGTGGCAGGCACCACGTTCCCAAAGAAGCACCTGGGTTATGGTGTCTGCCTGGAAGGATGTTCTGTCCTCTGTCTCCTGGGCCTGCTGAGTCCAGTGTCAGGCCACACTTGCATAGGCGGAGCAGATCTGGGGAGCCTCTCTGCTGAAGTTGGTAAGAGTGCCTGTGGCTGCAGCACCTCTCTGCTCCCCAGCTTGCTCTACAGTAGAAACCCTTCTGAGCACCCTCTCTAGCAGAGCTCTGAGAGCCCTCTTTAGCGGGACGGGGGGGGGGTGGGGGGGGGGGGGGGGGGTGGGGGGGGGGGGGCGTGGGGGGGGGGACTGCAGGTCTTCTCTGTGCAGCTGCAACTTTGCGTCCTGACATTTTTCTGCCCCTGATTCCAGCCAGCATTGAAGGTCACGTAGCCTGAGCGGCACTGACCTTTTGTCATTCCTCGTCAAGTCACTTTTTTGTCTCTGGGACCCTGCCATTCGGGCACTGTGCGAGGTAGTGGACAAACGAGAAGCAGGCGGTGGTGGTCCTGGGAGACTGCACAGACCCCGGAGAGGCTGACTCAACCCCATACCTCCCACCACCTGGTTCTCTGGGAAGGAAGGAGAAACCTGGGGGAAGTACACGAGCATGGTGGGCTCAATGGCTTATGAGGTGTCCAGGGGTTCCCCAGGCACCGCTCTGCCTCTCCACTGCTGTCTTTGCAGCCCTGTCCTCCCCTCCTGGTGACTGTGGCCCCTTGGCAGTGGTGCACCCCTCCCCCAGCTGGAGGGTTCCAGCTCAAACAATGTACCTGTGTTGTGGTGGCCCAGGTCTGTTTGGCAGAATTTTAGTGGGTTTGCAACTGGGCACTGATATTAACCACATGGAAGAAATAGGGTAAGGTGAACAAAGAGTTGCCAAAGCGCATTGCGACCCCTCTGCGATCCCATCAGTGCAGGCCTTTGCTGCCAGAAACACTCCAGCATCTCAGTTGGCTTGGGAAGCTTATTTTTGCCAAAGTTTTTATCACTAAGCAGGCGCCAGAGGACTGCTGCAGTCATAGTCCAGTCATGGCCAAGCTCAAACAACGAGCCTGTGTGTCCCACGTGTGGGAATGTCCAAAGGGAATGCTTTCCCCTCGCCAGGATCACTGTCGGCGCCCTTTGTGATATTCAAGACCTCAAGGAAGGTCTCTCCAGCCCCAAACTCAGAAACGTGGTAGAGCAGGAAAAGGGTCTGCGTGGCCCACCTGGGCCAGGTCTCTGGTTCTCCTTTCACGGGTCTATACACTTCACCTCACAGATCCTGTCCTGTGACTGCTGGGGGGAACCATGGCTGGGGGAGGCCAGGGACTGGCACTTCCAGGCTGGCAGCAGAGCTGGTTTTGCCAGGATGCACTCCCCACCCTGAGGTTCTCTAGGGAAGGGGTGAAGCAGGTAAAAATAGGTGAGATATAGTCTGACGCAGAACACTGTCCTGCCCCTCTCCTGACCTTGCCCATGACAAAGGGCCCTCTGTCCTTGCTCCAAGTCTCTGACCCCTCCGCTGAGTGTGTCTCTGTGGATGTGGGGCCCCAGACTCTGCCCCTCCCACTGCTCGCCCTCTGCAGCACACAGGGGCCTGACGTTGCAGAGGCTGGAGAACAGAACAGCCAGTGCTCTAACATGTCACCCTGGGGAGGCTCTGAATCCGTGCCTTCGCTTCTCCGAGTGGAAGTGTTTGGGTAGAGGACCTAGAAGGCTCCCCCCAGGGTTAACATTCCATGAACTGGAGGTCTAGACTGGACTTCTAATCCACCTTGAGAGAAGTTGAAATTGAAGTGACAGTCCCTCTAAAGTGGCTGCTGATTTGTACCTGACGCATAGTTGTGAATCCTGAGCCGTTTCAAGCCTCTAACCACTGCCCAACATGATAGGAGTGCTAAGCTTGGGGTCTTAATGGATGAGGCTTGTTCTAAGGCAGAAAATTTTGTTTCAGGCTGCGTGTAGCATCCTGTGCCTTTACCAGATCACCTTCAGAATTGTTTCCCCTCCCTTCTCTCCTCTCCTCTCCTCTCCTTTTCAAGATCACAAAGACCAGAGGGTAGAAAGTTCCACTGGATTGTTACAGTGGACTCTGGAGCCAGGTGCCTGGGTTTAGTCCCTGCTTTGGCTGCTTACCGGTCCTATGTCTCTGGGCAAGTTACGGAGCCTCCCTATGCGTCAGTTTCCTCAGCTGTGAAGTGGCTGTCATCTCACAGAGCACCCATCTCATGGGGGTGTAGTGACCTAGTGCAGGGCTGGTGCATCCTGAGTCTGCACATGTGAGTAATGATGCTGAGGTCATCCTGTGGTAGGTAGCAGAGGATGTGGGAAGAACATGAGGCTTGGAGACTAGGGTCCAGATCCCAGCTCTGCCACTTGCCTGTGGTAATGGTATCGGATTCCGAATCTCAGCATGTCTCCGTTTTCATAGCTGTGGGCTAAAATTGTATCCACCTCCGGGGTGCTTGTGAGACCCAGGGGAATAGGGCTGGCAAACTGTTTGACCCCACAAACCGGGCTAAGTCTGCTCTCTTTCCCCTTCCTAGGCACACATTCTGGCAGTTCCGCCACGAGAACCCCAAGACCCGGGTTGGGGACCCACCCCCGGAGGGGCTACCTGGCTTCAACAGTGGGGTGATGCTGCTGAACCTGGAGGCCATGCGCCAGTCCCCACTGTACAGCCGCCTGCTGGAACCAGCACAGGTGCAGCAGCTGGCCGACAAGTACCACTTCCGAGGCCACCTCGGGGACCAGGACTTCTTTACCATGATCGGCATGGAGCATCCTGAGCTCTTCCACGTGCTGGACTGTACCTGGAACCGGCAGCTTTGCACCTGGTGGAGGGACCACGGCTACAGTGATGTGTTCGAGGCCTACTTCCGGTGCGAGGGCCACATCAGGATCTACCACGGGAACTGCAACACCCCTATCCCAGAAGACTAGGTACATTCTTGCCCGTGGGCCCTCAGGTCTCTGGATCTGGGGGAAGACAAGGAAGGGGCACCTCTGAGGCCCCCAGGTGGTGTCTGAACCCTTGAGAGACACTGCAGGGACCCTTTGTGATCAGGTGCTGCAGCTCTCCCACCGTGTGGGTCACTGCCCTGAGGCCACCCAGTGATGACTGGCCTGCACATTGCTGGTGCTTGGGGACTTTTCCCTCCAGGGGGACAGGCATCGTGAAAGGCGAGCTCAGAGACATTTCCCTGTGGGCTAGGAAGTAGGTGTTCAGAGAGAAGAAAGGAAAGAAAACCATGCCCTTTGACTTTAGCCCCCAAAGAACGCAAATTTTTTTAAGAACTGGCCTTTCTTGGACCAAACATAAATTTGTTTTAAGCTGATAGGCTTCCATTTAGAGAGAAAGAACAAACAGAACTTCTGCAGCTCCCAGTGAGCTCCGAACCAGTGAGCCAGGGTTTTAACAGCCGGCCCAGATGTTAAACATCCCAGCAAAGGCCGCCCTTCCACATGTGCACCCAGGAGGCCGTGCTCACCCCCATGATGCTCAGGTTGCCTGCTGCAGGCGGGAAGATCGCCGCCACTTTGCCGGCTGTGGCCCTCATCACCAAGCTGGCCTCATTACTGCCGCCTTCACAGGTCTTACCTCCCAGCTGCACCACACAACCTCACTATCCCTTATTCATCCAAGCAGCTCCAGGTGACCAGGCTGTGCTCGGAAATCAAATCTGTCATCAAAGAACAGAGGTGGGCCACCCCCAAGGACATACAATAGAATTGTCCTGACCGGGAAGACTCCTTCCGAAGAGGAGCCCAGCTGTGCGCGAGTGTGACTGTGTGGCTCTGACGGGCCGCCCTTAGTCTTGTAAGCATTCCAGTCTCCGTCTGAAGAAATTATGCTCCCGACTTCCTCCTTGCACCACGTCAGACCTGCACCTTCGAAAAAATGAGGATATATTTTTTAAAGTTCTTCTTTAAATGAGTTCTCCTATAAGTGAACTGCAAACAGGAAGCCCCTGGGGTCTATTTTGTGGAGCCCAGTTGAAGTCCTTGGGGAAGAAATGTTGTTGGATTTTCCATCTTACTGTCTTTCAATTTCATTTACTTTTTTCTTTTCACTGTGAGTGAGAATAGCTAATAAAGAATCGTGGAGAACACAGTGATTTCTGTTGTTTGTGCTGTGACCCCAGTTTTCCGTTACACGAGGGCTCCGAATCACCAGTGTGCTCAGCGTCACTCAGCCTCCCTGCCTGCGCGAGGCCGCTGACTGAGCCGGTCTCTGAGGACCAGGGAGAGCGCGTCCTCTCCACTGGTCCTCAGAGGGAGGCGGGAGCAGGCCGGCAGTGTTCCCTGGGGTTCGCAACGAGAGAATTGATTTAGTCTGGGTATCAGCAGGCCCTGCCACTCCTGGGAGCAACAACACCCCACCCTTTCCCCTCTCTTCACCCCAGACTGTCCGCTCACTTTCCTCCCTGCGCTCTCAGCTCTGATGGAATTGGCCTGTTTTCTTAGGCTCTTGACTTCCTATTTATAACTGCCAGTTGTTGAGTTCCTGCAGCATACCAAGCATTGCATCAAGGGATTTATGCACACTGTCAATAATACTAATGAATACCTCACAAAGGGCATTACAATCCTAATTTATTGTAAGAAAATAATGAGAAATAGTGACAGAGAGTCGTTGTTTGTCACAGCATTTTTTATAATGAAAAAAACCTGGGCCAACCTAAAATGTTGAATAGGGGAGAGGATAAATTATGTTATATCCATATCATGGGAAAAAATCATATTCCCAAAGAATATTCAGTTATTGGGAGATGCTTATAATATGCTATTAAGTAAAGAATGGGAAATATAGATTATATATGCAATATGTTCCTAATTTTATTTTGAAAATCACATCTATTTTGTGTATATACATATATGTATTATGTGTATATATACATATATGTACATATAAACAGAGAGAGCCTGCTTTGCTATGTTTTATTAATCTCTTTTAAAAAGTGTGTTTCAAATACCATGTTTTTAAAAACCCAGTTATTTCAATGGGAAAAAAGTGGATAAAATGCAGGAGCATTTTAGACTCAAAATAGCAAAGGCATTTTTTTTCTGCAGTAATTTCAGTAATTAAAGTGTTTCTATAGCTATGAGTGTCTTTTATTGCAAGGGGAAAAAATAAACTGGTTGATCAAAATGAGCAAAAGTCAAACAAAATCTGTTTGTTTACTTTTGAGATCACCAATGCAGGAGCTTTTTTCCTTGTCTGTCACCAGTGGCCTTGGCCTTACAGCTCCACAGTAAAAAACAAAATAACTCAACAGGAAATTCCATCAGACCAACAAAGCCACCGTGTGTTCCTGTGCTTTACCGAGAGCAGCCTTCTGACAGCTCCTGCAAGGCCGGTTCCTGACAGGGATCCTGTTGGAATCAGTGCAGTGCAAACAGCATTGATTGTGCTGTTTAATTTGCCTTTGGAAACTTCCACTGTGGAGCACATGCCTGTGGGAGTGAATAGAGCAGGAGTCTGAAAAGAGAACATTTCTGGGTAGCAGGATTAGGATTAAGGTGCTTTTTATCTTCACCCGTATTTACTTCTATATTTTCCATAATGAATATTAATTATTTTTATGATAAACAATAAATGCTGTAAAATTTTAGCCACCCACCTTCTCCCTATTGCAGGTAAGTATCACCCCAGCCACTTTACAGCTCACGGTTGGCCTTGGTTACCATCACCCATAAGAAAACAGTCCTGGCTAAGTAGGCTCTGGGTTTTCAACTTTCACTACGGATGCCCTAGTTCTCTAAATAAAAGAGACCTAATAATAGCATCTCCAGACTCTGCTTTCGTTTTTGAACCATCGTCTTTTGTGTGTACACAAATAATAATGGCCTTTGGAAAGCTCACGGGCTTGTAAATGAGATTTATTCTTGTATGTTTCAAAACCAAACTACTGCATCCCCTTCAGAGCATCTTACCAAGCCAAAGAGTGGCATGCTGGCTCAGCGGCCCCCAACCTGGAGCATGCCAGGAGTTTGTGGGTTAAGGGAGCAAGTGCAGCTGTGACCCGACACCCACTTTTATTAAAGGCCAAGCTTCTGCTCATTCTAAGACTTGGCCTCCTGGCTCAGTATGAGAAGCCCAGAGACTGGGCTGGATGGGAGTTGGGCAGGGCCAGCAGAGATTTCTGAGAGAGCAGGGTGTGTGGCAGAGAGAACCATGCACCTCTAAGACAGAGGCCTGGTGTTGAATCCACGTTCTGCCCTCCCTGCTTGGGCAGTCTTGGACAAGCAAGGTCACCCCTTCCCGATTTGTGGACAGGGAACAAGGGTTCCCTCAAAGGAGTGTGGGAAACTTCCCAGAAAAGAGAGCATAAGGGCTTGGGAAGCTGAGAAATAGTTACACAGATACAAGGGAATTCTTAAAATTATTACCTAAAATGCTCTTTTTAAAAATGAAGTTCATCAAGGTAACATTGGTTAATAACGTAAGTTTCATGTGTACACTCTAATACATCATCTGTGTACTCCACTGTGGGCTCAGCACCTAAAGTCTGGTCTCCTTCCGTCACCATGTACTTGACCCCTTCACTCTCTTCACCTTCCCCCACCCTCTTCCTCTGTGGTAACCACCATACTGCTGTCTGTGTCTATGAGTTTGTTTAAAGCATTCTTTTTTTAATTGAATTGGTCAATAAAATTGTATAGGGTTCAGGTGTACAATGCTATATCATCTGTATGTTTATTGTATATTCACCAGCCCCAAGTCAAGTCTCCTTCCATCACCATTCATTCCCTCTTTACCCCCCGCCCACCTCACCTACCCCCTTTCCTTCTGGTGATCGCCATGCTGTTGTCTGTGTTTAAAACATTCTTTTTTAAAAAAATATCTTTACCTGAGGAACATTTTTTAAAGGATTTTATTTATTTATTTTTAGAGAGGGAAGGAAGGGAGAAAGAGAGAAATGACAATGTGTGGTTGCTGGGGGTCATGACCTGCAACCCAGGCATGTACCCTGACTGGGAATCGAACCTGCGACACTTTGGTTCGCAGCCTGTGTTCAATCCACTGAGCTACGCCAGCCAGGGCTTAAAACATTCTTTTAAAATGACAGCCATCTGGGGCACATTAAATTGTTGGTAGCATCTCCCTAAGCCCAGACGCTTGCTTGTAGGCTGCCCTGCTGTGTGGCTATTTGCACATTGACCTCACCGTCTTCATGGTTTGTGAGCTCCTTAAGGGCAGAGACCTTGCCGGTGTCCCCTTTGCATGTCCTCCAGGACCCGCTCAGGCTGGGCCCAGTGCAGGGGCCACAGAGTGAGGGAGTGGTGTCCCCTGGGTGCTTGGGCTGGTCTGCTGTCTGGTATGGGATGTGGGTGAAGCCAGAAGGTCCCAGCACTTCTCTCCTTTTCCCTCTGTCTCATTCTCACCATTATTTGTAACCTCAGGCATAGCAGGTTAAGGGCGCAACCCTCCTCAACCCCTGACCCATCCACCACCGCTCCCAGGCAGGACCTGCTCTTGTCATATTTATTCATTCCCATTTATCACCGTATCTCACTCCCATCCCCCAGTACACATTCATTACAGCCTGCTTTCTGTTCAGCTTCGTGTTCTTTCAGAATGACATTGTTTTGTGTATATGTGTTTTGATTTGAGTAACTCTTAGAATATTCTCGTGTGCCTTCATTCAGCACTGTGTTTTCAAGGTCCATCCCCACTGTTATGCACACACAAAACTGCTGCCCTTACTCTGTGGTGTGCTCTGCCACAGTCTCCCTGGCCTCACCCACATTGACGGAAACCCACATACCCTGCCACCCACCTACTCACCCCACCCCACCCCCCACACAAGGAACCCTGTCATGAATGTCCTTGTCCTCAGTCCTTATGGACCTGCTCAGAATTTGTGTTGCATGTCCAGGAATTAAACTGCTGGATCGTGAGATTTGCAGATGTCAGCAGTCCCACCTAGGTGGTGCTGGCTGCTCCCCAGGGCGGTTGCTCTCTCCCCACTTTCACCAGCATGAGCCCTCACTTTCTCTGCACGACTGTGCTCAGGTCCACATGGGTCTGCAGTGACACACACATGGTCCTATGATCATAGTGGAGTTCTCCAAAACGGGCGGCCCAAAGAGCTGCTCTGTGTGAGTGGTGTCACGGTGCCATGGGAAAAGGCTGGACAGGAAGACAGTGGCCCTGGGTTCTGATCCTGATCTCACCATCGGACCTTGGCCAGGAGGCACTGCTCTATGAGAATGGGAGAGTTTAGCTGGCTCCTGGCCCTGCCGCCCTCCCAGAACGACTGTGATAGTAGGTAAGATAACTCATATGAAAGTACTTACAAGGCTCTAGACGTACCCTTGTCCCTGGTACTGCAATCTGTCCCCAGTGCCATGGACACTGTCAGAGTGGATGCTTCCCTTCATGGAAGCTCTGGCCAGCCCAAGTCCTGCCCAACAGCATGTCCTAGCCCTCTGGCCCCACAACCAAGCTGCCCCAAGGGCAGTACACAGTGTTTCCCCATTAGGGCATCCTGCCCTCTCTCAGGAAGGCCTCCTCTCCCACACGCCATGAAGCCGCCCCTCTGACTCCCATGCAGCCTGAGTCGGGCACTTCCTCAAGCACAGAATGCCTTTACACCAGGCACAGAGCCGGGCCTGAGAGTCTCCGCTGGCTGTGTGGAGTTTCCATGTGTGTACAGCCTGCTGTCAGCAATGTAGTAAGCTTCTGTTCGAGCAGCAGTCTGAGCCATAAAGTGACATAAATGTCAATAATCTTCCAAAGCTAAGTGAACACATGCTTTGAAAAATTTAAGTACTCATTCACGGTCATGGGCAGACAGCTTCACAGTAAACTTGAGTCCATCTCATCCTGTCCCAACTCTCAGAGAAACTAACCTTCTCTCTAGTTCAGGAAGCCATGACAACCCTCTCTCCAGGTATCTCGTGGGTGCCTTTGTGGTCTCTCCTCCCCTGCCTGCCTTCCCTGGCCCAGCCTCCTCCCCCAAGGGTCCCCAGGATCCTCCTGCCACTCCCCACAATTTGAAGCTTCCCAGTTGGGGCTCCCACCATCTCATCTTGGGCCAAAACCACTATGTGTATGATCCCATACCACTCTCTGCCTCTCCCCACTGGGCTTCTGCTGCTCCTGGA